ATTTTTTTCCGGTCCGGTATCCTAAAAAATCGTGCGTTCTGATTGGCTGTTTGAGCGGGCGGTATTTTGTAAGTATCTGCCCGCGCGCGCGGTCCGGTATCCTTTGCCGCTAAACGACAACACAAAACGATTACCAAAACAAGTAAAAAAAATACGGGAAAAAAATAACATATATATATACAATGATTATCTTGATATGTTCCTTATACAACAAGCAGGGGTGAGGAGTTTCTACTGTACATTGATAGCTGAACAAGAATAAGACTAAAATCAGCATGTGGGTTAAATGTTGTACGCATGGAAAATTGAAAGTAGTGGTAGTATGTAAAACATTATCCGATGACACCAGTACTATAATACGGATTTCGTTTACCCCTTACTGAAGTCAATTCATCGCGTACAATTGCACTCAAAACTAGGTCATGACCGCCTAATAGTTGCGTTATAGTTTTACAAGTCCAGAATCGCCTTTGTCCTTGAGTTTGTATAAACGTTTTCATCATTTTTCGTCCGCCATTAAATATGCCGTGACTCGCGCCAACAACAACTTTCAATATTTCCCGCGAACAATTTTGGTCCCAGGCCTCGCGCGGTTTGCTTCCTTGACTCCAAACCTCTAACCGGGGTTCGCTCGGTTTAAAAAAGTGCGTCTTCAGTAGAAACTGGTGACTAGAACGTTGTTTTTGAGCCAACGAGGAACCTGGCTACTTAATATGGCAGACGAAGAATGATAAAAACGTTTGTAAATTTGACGCAATTATTGAGCGATTCTGGACTTCTCCTCGCAAAACCACCCTCCACAGTGTCAGTGACTGAACAAATACTTCAAAAATCGCATATCACATTTAAAGCCGAACGAAACAAATTCAAGGCAGTGAATGTACATCAAATTTCCGGTGCCACATTTTTCAGAAGGGCATTTACGAAGACACACTATGACGTTTCTTAAAGGCATTGTCGTACTTTCCATACAAAAGGACGCCATTTTGACACAGTATTCACTCAAAGAAAATCGCTGGATCGACCAAGAGCTAARAGGCAAGATTAAAGCACACTAAACTATCGTTGTATTACTATTATTTTCCGGTGCTGAAGGAGTGGAAAGTACGAATTCTTCCTTATTCTTTGTAATTCCTTGAGGTTAATTAGCATGAAATGTGACAGCCGGTCCGTGATATAGTATGCAAATGAGCAAAATCACCGAAAAAAAAAAAACCCGGAATTGTACGCGATGTAAAGAGAAGGAATTTTGAAAAATTAAGCAAACATTTGAGATGCGCTATGACAAGAGAATATGAAGTAAGAGAGCACATCTCCCATACATGGATCTGTAACCATGAAAGTTTCTTGAAAATCTATTTTTAGCTGCGCGCGCAAGCCTGAGCTATTTTTAACATGCGATCCCTTATTGCTGCTCAGAGTTGTGTGACTTCCATGCGAGCGAAAAATGTTTAGTTCCCGACGAGAAGAATGCCTTCAAAATTAGTAAAAAGTTGAAATGATTAAAGTATCATGTGTTCTTCATGGACGAATTAAACATTAACCTAGCAATTGATGTAAAAGGACATCGAAAAAGATCAAATCAGGATGGTTTTCAGTCACATACGAACAAGCGCTAAAAACAGCGAAGACG